CGTGGTGGGCAGAGCACAGCTAGTCCTTTGTGTAGCTTTGTCCTTAACACATAAACTGATGTCTAACGTATGAAAACCAAGGAATAATCAGAACGGATTATTTTCAGGCTTATTTCGAAAAATATGATCAGTCAGAGCAGTAAAACGGATAACAAAGTTTAAATATTTCTTGTATGGTGAACATTATTTCAAGACGCTTAGCTGGAGTTTGGTGTTGCTAGTCTACTATTATTTTTAAGATAGCTTACAGCTTTTAGTGCTTATTTCGTTGTTAAACGAATAGCTACACAACGGGCTATCTGTGCTCTGCCAACTGCAGGTTTCGAAATCTGAATGAACCCTCAGACTTACAGCTGAGCCGCCTGAGAGTTGCTTCAGAGCTACTTTGATCTATATAGATGGTTTCTAATCTGTATTTTCAGAATATTTTTGTATTAAGTAATCTAAATTAGGGAGTTATTTAATAATACAACGAATTATTTGAGGAAATAACCTCAATACTGATATCGCATTAAGTTTTTGTTACTTGGAATGTTTCACGTGTATTTATAACATTTATTTGTTTCAGAGTGTTTCAGTATCGGTGTCAGTTCTCACCTTAACATTTATATCGGTAGACCGTTGGTACGCAATATGTTATCCTCTGCAATTCAAGAGCTCGACAACAAATGCCAAAGTCATAATAATATTTATCTGGACAATTTCATTCCTACTGGTTCTCCCGGACGCTATTGTTTTGAACACCCAAAAACATCTAAACATCAAAGTTGAAACTTATTACCTGACGGACTGCAGCTATACCTGGGACAGCCGTTACACCTGCGTCTATCAGATGTATATTTTCGTTGTTCTCTACATTCTCCCTTTCATTCTGATGTCAATCACTTACTCCCAGATTGCCAAAGTATTGTGGAATAAAGCCATTCCTGGTTCATCAGAGACCACCCTTCATCATCACACCAGAAGAGGTGAGTACAAATATAACTAGACCAAAACATGAATATCGTTTGTTCATTATAAACTACCCTTCATCAATACTTCACATAATATAATTCATTGTTGTATATAACCTGAAGTGACTTTGTGTCAGAATATAAAGTAGGCTTATTTTCCCTGTTCTTTTTTCTGTATTGTGTTCTTGGCATTTTATTTAAATAAAACACCAATAGAAACAGAAAGTCTTTCTTTCTGCCGGTGGCGTTTCCCCCTCCCCTCTTTGTTGACGTTCTGCGTTTCTGCTGTTTTCAGGAGGCTAACACACTGACAATCTCAGTCACGGGCTTAAAATAACTAATGTACAATACAACTGTTATGATTTGAACACCTTTAGGTGGCGAAGCGTGAATTTAATCTGTTACATTTCTCATAAGACGATAATATTAGGCTTAATCATATTTTCAAACCCTAAATTCTTTATTCAGTCTCTTGGGTTTTTTTCCGAGAAGAAGATAGAAGAAGAGGGTATGATAGTATTTCAACCACACTATGTCCACCATATCAATTACTTCTTGTGTCAACTCTAACTGACTGTAGTAGACAATATACGTTAAAAAAAACGTTGTTTTTTATGTGAGATTAGATGTGGTGACACCTTTTAACAATACAAATTAGTAGTGTTGCTATAAAGTTTGATTTTGACGCAAAACTACACAAGGGCTATCTGCGCTAGCCATCCCTAATTTAGCAGTATAAAATTAGAGGGAAGTTATCACCACCTACCGCCTACTCTGGGGCTACTCTTTTCCCAATGAATATTGGGATTAACCGTCACATTATAACGCCCCCACGGCTGAAAGGGCGAGCATGTTTGGTGGGACGGGGATTCGAACCCGCGACTCTCAGATTGAGAGTCAAGCGCCCTAACCACCTGACCATGTCGGTTATTATAAAATACCAGCGAAAGAATACAATAATATAGTTTACAGAAATATATTTTATGACGTATGATATCAAGAACAATATTGGCAGATACATCTACTTAAGTTCCAGTACAAAACCTTAAAACCTCAATATTTATGAAAAAAATTGTGTTTTTCCAGAATGAATCTTTTATTATTATAATATTTTGCTTTTACAGCTTCATCAGGAGCTATCGATATCCTACAAGTTCGCTAATCCGGTTGAAACAAAATTCAATAGCTTCTGAAGAAGCTGTAATGGTGAAATATTGATATAATAAAGATACATACATTATCTTGTTTACACTAATAAAAGCTTCAAGCAGTAAATGGAGTTTGGGTTAAACAAAGTTAAGAATGAAAATGTGTGTTTAATATTAAGCACAAAACGGCACAGGAATCGAACCCCGAAACTTAGCTTCAGAAACTCTGAAGATTAAAGCTGACACCAGAGTTGAGGCATGAACAAAAGAACAGTGTCAATAAACGCAAGTTAAAATTCATGTTATCAACGTGAACAGTAGTAAGTGAGAGTTCGAACACGAAAAACATAATTTACAAAAGCCATCCCACATATGTGTTAATGGACGAGATCTTAGCTCTATTAAGGGAGACCGTAGCTTTTCTCTGTCTCAGTTGTGAAAGGTAGTGAGATTGCGGTAATTCGTGTTTAGAAAACTTTGATTTTCTCACCCCACCCTACACACGCACACACAGGTCTGTCTTCCACGTGAAAAAGCACACTTTATTTTCTCACCGCTTTTCTAAAGACATGTTAAGAAACCTTAGAGGTAATGAACTGTATCTGTTTGTCATTTGAATTTCGTGCAGTCTTACTGAGAGCTACCTGCGCTAGCCATATCTAATTTAGAGTTGTTAGGCTGGAGCAATGTTTCTCAAATTTGGAGCCGCGGCCTTCTAGGGGCCGTTAAGCTTTTTCTGGGGGGCCGCCAAAAATGGGCCGAAAACAAAGACGCTGAGTTAATTTTAATTCTAAATATACAATAAGCCGATAAATATTATGTTAAATTAATTAAATGATACAGTGCGTTGAATGGAGATGTTATTGTTTTTACTGTGGCACTGTTGTTTAATCACCATTCTAAAGTTAAAATGTTGGGGGGGCCTCAAACGTTTTTATCCACATCAAGGTAGCCTCATACTAAAAAAGTTTGGGAACCACTGGACTAGAGAAAAGGCATGTAGTCAACGCCACCCACCGCAAACTCTTAAGCTACTCTTTTAATAACAAAAAGTGAGGTGAACTGTGACATTATAACGCCCCCACGGCTGAGAATGTTGGTGTCAGGATGCGAACCAGCGATCCGCAGATCGCTAGTCGAGCGCTCTAACTACCAGGTCACACCAGGCCCGAACGGTATCTGTAGATTGTTGTAATCTGTTTACCTGCCTCGTCTGAACAAATGAAGTAAAAGTTTGTTGAAAGTACTTTCAAAATAGCATGAAGATTTTTCGCGAGAATTAAGCAGATGAATGGAATTGTTAAAACGTTTGAGAAACAATTAGTATAGACATCTAAGAGCTACTAGGATGAGAAAGGGATGAAAATATAAATATAGTTGTGTATTTTGTGATAAACACACAAAGAAATACATCGGTATTCTTCCTACAAAATATTAGAAATCCCTTGTTATTTCCCCCCCCCCCCGGGGAAAAGGGGTATGTCTGGGGGCTTTCAACGCTTGGGACCAGGTTTCGGAA